TCTGGGTGCTCTCATTTTGGTTACACATATATTTACAATTGTTATATTCATTTGCTGAACTGACTCATTTATCATTATGTAATGATTTCCTTGTCTTTTGGCCTGAAATGTATGTAGTCTGATATGATAGCGATTCCTGCCCTTCTTTGTATTCCATTGGCATGGAATATACCTTTCTTCCTCTATTTTCAGTCTGTCTTTAGAAGTGAAGTGTGTTTCTTGTAGGCAATAGATAATTGGGTCTTGTTTTTTTTGTTGTTTGTTTGTTTTGTTTTTATCCAATCTATGTCCTTTGGAGAGTTTAGTCCATTTACATTCAACGTTATTGATAAGTAAGGACTTATTCCTGCCATTTTGTTATTTTCTGGTCGTTTTGTGGTGTCTTCCTTTTCCTGTCTTCCTTAGAGTAAAGGTGATTGTCACTAGTGATTTTAGCTTCTTGCTTTTTATTTTCTTGTATTCACTGTATGTTTTGTGGTTTGAAGTTACCATGCAGCATGAAAATACTATCTTATAATCCATTATTTTAAACTGATAGCAACTTAACGCTGTTTTCATAAACCAAGAAGCAAAAAGAAAATAGACTATACTTTAACTTTGTCCTCCCACTTTTTAACTTTGTTTATATTTTATTGTATTGTCTATGTCTTTAAAGTTGTAGTTATTTTTGATTAGTTCATTTAATCTTTCTACATCATAGAATAGTGTACAGAGCACAGTTATAGTGTTATATTCTGTGGTTTTTCTGTATACTTGCTAACACCAGTGAGTTTTGTACCATTAGATGACTTCTTTGTGTTTTTGAAAGTCTTGCTCTGTCACCAGACTGGAGTGCAGTGGTGTGATTTGTGCTCACTGCAACCTCCACCACCCAGGTTCAAGCAATTCTCCTGCCACAGCCTCCTGAGTTGGAATTACAGGTGCACACCACCACGCCCAGCTAATTTTTGTATTTTTAGTAGAGACAGCGTTACACCATGTTGGCCAAGAGGGTCTCAATCTCTTGACCTTGCGATCCACCTGCCTCAGCCTCCCAAAGTGCTTGGATTACAGGCATGAGCCACCATGCCTGGCCAGATGATTTCTTACTGCGCATTAACATTCCTTTCTTTCAGATTGAATATTTCCTTTTAGCATTTCTTCTAGGACAGGTCTGGTATTGATGAAACCCCTCGGCTTTTGTTTGGGAAGGTCTTTATATCTCCTTCATGTTTGGAGGATATTTTTGCCAGATATAAGCTGTTTTCCTTCAGCTTTAAATATGTCATGCTACTCTTTCCTGGCCTGTGTGATTTCCACTGAAAATTTTGCTGCCAGATATAGTGAAGCTCTATTTTATGTTATTTGTTTCTTTTATCTTGCTGCTTTTAGAATTTCTTTATCCATGACTTCTGGGAGTTTTATTAAATGCCTCGAGTTAATCTTCTTGGGTTAAATCAGCTTGGTGTTCTATAACCCTCTTGTACTTGGATATTGGTATATTTCTCTAGGTTTAGGAAGTTGTTATCCCTTCCAATAAACTTTCTACGTTGTTTCTCTCTAAACCTCCTCTTTCAGTCCAATAACTGTTAGATTTGCACTGTTCAAGCTATTTTCTAGATTTTGTAGGTGTGCTTCATTTTTTTCTTTTGCCTGCTCTGACTGCATTTCTAAAATATCCTGTCTTGAAGCTCACTTACTTCTTCTGCTTGATCAATTCTATTAAGAGACTCTAACACATTTAGTTTGTCAATTATATTTTTCAACTTTAGAATTTCTGCTTGATTTTTAAAAATGTTAACCTGTTTGTTAAATTTATCTGATAGAATTCTGAATTCCTTCTTTGTGTTATCCTGAATATCTAAATTTCCTCAACACAGCTATTTCAAATTCTCCATCTAAATTGTCACTTACCTCTGTTGATCCAGGATGTGATATTGTGCCTTATTTGCTTCATTTCATGAGGTCATGTTTTTCTGGACGGTTTTGATGTTGATAGCAGCTATTCTTTGGTGTCTTGGCATTGAAGAGTTAGGTATTTATTGCAGTCTCCACTGTCTTGGCTTATTTGTACTTATCTAGCACGGTTGGGCTCTGTGTTTCCGCACAAATCTCATCTCAAATTGTAATACCCGCATCCGAAGGAGGGACCCAGTTGCAAGTGACGGGATCCTGGTGGGGAGGTTCCCCCATGCTGTTCACATGGTAGTGGGGGAATTGTCACAAGATCTCATCGGAACATTGGGACTTCCTAGAGACTTGTAAAATTGTTTTGACCAAAATACTAATAGTGATATGGACAATAAAGTTCATGCTGTGGTGGTCTCAGATGGAGACGAGAACCTTATTGGGAACTGGAGCAAAGGTCACTCTTCCTATGCTTTACCAAAGAGACTTATGGCATTTTGCCCCTGACCTAGAGATCTGTGGAACATTGAACTTGAGAGAGATGATTTAGAGTATCTGTCAGAAGATATTTTAAACCATAAAATGCAGTTCTTCCCACTCTTCCCTCCCCTTTTCACAGGCAGAGGAGCCTCATTTCATGACCACCACCACCACTGGCCCATAGGAGAATTACTAGTCTACTTCCATTTTTCACTTAAGGCTTAAAGGACCTTCAGTTAGTTTGTGGTGAAGTCTGCCAAGCCTGAGACTCACCCTTCAGGGCAGTGGGCTCCCCTATGGCCCAGGGCATGTCGAGAAATGCTGTCCAAGGGCCAATGCCTAAAATCATAGACCCACTTGGTGATCTATCCTACTGTGGTTGATCTGGTACCTAAGGTGCTAGACAAAGTTGCCTTTACTTTACTTTGGCTTTTCTCAAATAGAAGCATCTCACTGTAGCCACCACAGATAGTAATATTCTATGTTTCACCAGAAATCAACACATCTCCAAGTCTCACCCAAGGTCTGTGGTGTACTATCTGGGTATCACTGCTGGTTATTTAGAGCACAAGGACTCTTTAGTCAACAGGTGATGTGTTCTTCCAGGACTGGGTCTTTCCCTTAAGGCAGCAGGTTCCCTTCTGGTCCAGGGTGTGTCTAGAAATGTTATCTGAGAGCTAAGGCCTGGAATGGGGGCCTCATAATTCTGACCAGGGCCCTATCTTATTGTGGTTGAGCTGGTATCCAAGATGCAGGACAAAAGTCCTCTTTACTTATTCCTTTCCTCTTAAGTGGAAGAAAGGGGGTCCCTTTTGAAGCTGTGAATTGTACTCCCTGGGGTTTGGGGAGTTGTGGTACAAGCACTCCTTTAGCTGTGCTCGCTAGTGTCTCAGTGACTCATGTTCACCCATTCTTCCCCCAGGTCTACTGGCTCATAGCCCATCTCAAGCATGATGACTCACCTAGAAGTTACAGTCCTTGTGGTCCATGTCACACAAACGCTGTGACGGGAAAAGGGAAGGGTGGCATTGGTAATTCAAGACTGTATTTCCTACCCTCTTCAGTGCCTCTTTCAGTGACATAAAATTAAAAGCAGATATTGTGAATGTTCACCTGAATTTTGCTTCTTATGAAGGTGCTTTTGCGTGTGTGTAGATGTTAAATTTGGTGTTCCTGTTGGGGGGACCATTGGTGGGGCCTTCTATTCCACAATCTTGCTTTACCCCTATTTTACATTTTCATTACTTGAGGTTTCATAAGAAAGCAAACTAACAACATCAACACACCACACAGAAACACCTATGTCTGCATAAGAAACTTCAAAAAGTCTGAAATGTGGAGGATCAATAGGCATCTTCCAAGTAATAGAGGGAATTGAAGGCAGAAGGAAGAGCATGTTGCAAAGCCATGAAACTGCATGGTAAGAAAAGACAATAGTATGACTGGAGTATTAAATGAATTTGAAGGAGAAAAGCAGGAAGTAAAGTGGGGCTATTAGATGAGGGGAGCTTTGTACAAAAGTTTAAGAATTTTAGGGTTCATATTTAAATAGAGGCCAGAGATCAAAGACTCAAGAGTGTTTCTGCAAACTACTTGCAAATTAGCAAAATGGAGGGCAGATGAGAGATCAGTCCAAAAGTAGAGAGAGATATTATAAAACCTTTGCAGTATTTTGGGGAAAAGAAGATATGATTTTGAATTAGTGCAATAGCAGCTGAGATGGAGAGGTGAAACTGAAACATTCTGAAGGTAAAACCAACATGAATTGGCAGTTGATTATTGAAGTTTAAGAAAAAGTTTACATGCTAGGTAATATAGTAAAATATGTCAATTTGGTAAACTTCAGATGAATTTCTATGTAATGTATATATTGCATATATTTTAGCAGAGAACAAAAAATTCAGAGTGTCAAAGACTATCATCAATATACTTTATACACACCCTCCTCTTCATAACCAACTCTCTTGAAATCTGTTAACTGAGTCTTTAAGTTGGGCATTAAGTAAAATTGAAGCCTTACCAAAAAACAAAAGACAAGACTCTTAAAGATTAAGAAATTTGCCTAAGTGGATATATGTAATAGTGTTGTCAGGATTCAACCTAGGCTCCATGATTCCGTATTTTTTCCTCCATATTTAAAATATCCTAGCAATATCATAAAACAAATGAACTGATAAAAGGTTCTTAATTTGCTTGACATTCTTCAGATTAACTTCAATTTCTAATTTACTGAGTCTCTTCAATATCAAAGCAATAATAGCTAATTGTCTATGCCTGTTTATAATCTTATCAAAGCAACATTTCATCATCTCATTTCTGTTTTTTCTATATAATTTGTGAGAACACTGGAAGCTCTTAAGGTGTGACAAATTTTGAGAGCCCAGTAAAGATTAAATCCCTGAGTTATATGATTTGAAAAAAATTTAATGAAATACTTTGCCCAGTTGCCTAGGACTACTGTTAAGCAACTGTCAACCAACACCTTGTCCAAATATAGATTTCCGAAAACATAAGTGGCTAGCTAGTATATTTTAGAAACCAGCACGATCTCTGAGAAATTCAGATCCCAGAATTGATGTGGGTAGGAACTGGGGAAGCAAAACTAAGTAAATTAAAGGCACAATGTTACTTACTTTATCCTTGGAGAAACTGAAAAGTTTTTTTTTTTCCACAAAGAATTGGACGGCTATTACACTGGCTGAGTGGCCCCAAAGGACACCCAGTGGTTTAGAGACAACATAGGGATTCCAAAGGCAAACTTTATTGTTAATGCCAGCAGTTGCTAATCAGAATTAGAAAAAAAAACTGTTTTTAATAGCATGAATATCCCACAGCATTTTCTTTGTGAAGTGAGTTTACCACGTAACTTGTACGTTGACAAATGTCAACTGTAGGTTGACTAATGCACGTCTAACTAGACCAGGCTAACGGGGCATGAGTTCTGTCAATATAAATGGTTGAAATGGAGTAGGGAAAAAAAAACTTTAAAGGGGAAAAGGCTATGTATGAGGTGAGAGAAAAAATATAGTCCCATTTTTTAAAAAAAAACAACAGTCCAATCAGGAGAGGACAGAATCTTTCTTCCTAGTCCTGATACTTCTCTCTCCAGCCAGCTTAGCCTAGAAATGTAGTCACTGTTAGTTATCCCAGGAGTAAGAAAGAACAAAAACAATGTTGAAAGTTCACATTAATTAAAAGCTATAAAGAAACAAATGATTTTCACTGCCATGTAAATAATCAAGTACAGTCATGCATTTCATAATATTTCAGTCAACAACATACAGCATATACAATTGTGGTCCTATGAGACTATAATACGGCATTTTTACTGTACCTTTTATATGTTTAGATAAATACCATTGTGTTACAGTTGCCTACAGTAGTCAGTACATCACATGCTGTAGAGGTTTGTAGCCTCAGAGCCACAGGCTATAACATATAGCTTAGGTGTGCAGTAGGCTGCACCATCTCTTGTGTAAGAACACTCTATGATGTTCACACAATGGAAAATCACCTACTGATGCCTTTCTGTCCCCATCATTAAGCAAAGCACAACTGTATGTGCAAGCAACGAAGCAGCACAAATACACTTTTGACCTGCTTTATTAATAGAATAAGATATTTTTGAACATCAATTAGTTATATTTATAGAGCTCTTCAAGAGCAGGAAATACTGTAACTATTCAATACAAGACAATACTCTTCCTTGCTTCCTAGTTTAGGGCCAATTGTGGAGCTGAATTTATTCATCCATATTTTTTCCAGCATTATAGCAGATACAAAGTACTTATCATACAGAGATTGAAATAATTAACCAATCAATAAAGTAAACAGTTGCTATCTGAGTCCTTGCCAAACTGAGTCACCAACTCCTCTAGCCTTTTCTAATCCACAGTACTCCTTGAAGATTTGAAGTTGGCATATTCATGAATTCATATTCAAAGTATCTGTTGCTGTGATTCTCATGCATTATTTTGGGAATTTTATAAACATAGCTCCTTAGCTAATATTAATAATCTTTATATGAGTGACAACTATTGAATGTCATTTAATAAGACCCATTCTGTAGGCCATGTGTGTGCTCTAATTTTTCAATAATACATCTGTACCTCATTTTTTAATCATATATGTATATCAAATTATCAGCTTTCAGAATGTAAGTTTTTAATTTAAAAAGTTAATGCCTGAGAAATTTTATATTTCCTCAGCTAAAATTTTTTTTACATCAAAAGAACTCTCCTCTAGTAAACTTAGGATAATCTGAAATTTTTCAAAAATCATTAGAGATTGTATTCTGAAAGGTAATTGAAAAACATTCTACATTTTGCAGTTCTCGTTTATGGATGTGTGTGTATGCACTGTTAGTGGTAGCTGTATGTAGTAGCAATGAAAAAATGCATTTGTTTGGGTGGAGCATTTGGTAGTGTTAGGAAGATAGCAGAATGGCAGATGCTGCACAAACTGTCTTCCTTCCCTATATCATTTTACACCCTTCACCAATTGTAATAAAAACTCATTAAAGGATTGGACACTTCCTCATTTTTACCCCAATGTAGTTCATATACACTGCACATCATAATGCATCATTATCAGAAATTTTTCAGGCAATAAAATGTGTGCTGCTCAAGATGGTCCCTAGCAATAGAGCAACAAGGTGGAGAAGGCTCCATGCATAAAAATATACATCCCAGACTATTTATGGGACTTTCATAGTTATGATTTTACATACCAATTAAATTGAGCCGAGAGTGGTAATCAAAAGCATGAATGCCCTGGGCAATGTTGAAGGATGTCATATGAAGATGCTTGGTTTCTCTCTCCAAGCAAGAACCACAGTATTAGTATTGCTGGTTGTACTGGAAATGATAGCATCTAAAGATGCACTGTAAGTAACTGATTAAAAAAAAAAATCTTTAGTTGATTCTTCGCAAAATGTTAGTGAAATGGGGCTGTTTTAATACATAAAGTTAAAAAATTAAACTCAGATTATGATACAAACTGACACTTAAAAAACACCTCCCAAACCCGTTCTCCTACCTCCCACCTCCCACAAAAGAATTCCATTGAGAAGTTACAGGAAATTCTACATTTTTACATTCCCCCACTCTAGGAATACCTTGAAATTTTTCTTAATTGGAACAAATGGCACAAAACAATTAATCACAATCATATGGGATTCTAAAGATGTAAGACAAGTAATTGGCCAAATTCCTATCTTCCTCCTCCTGGGTCTGAGGCAAGCAAACAGGAGCTTATCAAGCCATCTGCCTTCCCCAAAGGTCCGGCTCATGCCTAAACAATGGTTAATTTAAATTCTGACTGATCCAAAATGTTGGAAAGTGAAATGGCCAGGATTCAACTCCATGCCAAGGTTCACAAATACAGCCTCAGGCTCAGATCAAAGTGGCTCTTCCTGCATTCCTGATGAACCAGTGCCAGATGCTGTGAAGCAAATTCACCCTTTCCAAGCAAGGATAAAGATCCTACTACCTTTTCTCAGGAGGACCTTTCCATTACTCTCAGACCCACAGGTTCCAAAAGGCCAATCAATAGCCATAGCTGCTCTTTGATCAACTTGAAACCTCCATGCCCTCTGTGGTTAGGCAGATGTTCTCTTTGGCATTGTATGCAATTATTTGTGTCTTACATTTGGAGGATTTCTGATTTGACCTCAAGATCCAATTCCTGCCCCACACAAAGAGGGATGTTGTTGCTTCATAAAGTTTAAGGGAAGTTTTTAAGTAGAATGGCTCAGAAATATTTCTGATCAATTTACTATGTGAAATCAGGGGTAACACAGTCTGGGAGTCAATTCTCAATTGATTGCTAGCATTTCTGCACTTCTTGTGAAGCTAAGCACTCACTGCCTTTTGTTCTGGATTATCTTTTCAAATAATTTTGCTTGTATAGCAAACAGCCATAGAATGTAGAGATAATGTCTCCCTTTGCCCAGTATAAAAAGATAATGTCCTTCTCTGGAGAAAGTTAGGCATGTCTCCTGTCCACCAGAAGAGATTCAGATTCCTTAGGTTTGAGGTTCCTTTGCTGTGATGGAATATGGTGCCTGTGCGGGGATTTATCTGGGCCCATCTGCATTACCTCTGTGGACTTGATGGCCGGGGGAACTGAAATAAATGTAGTGATACTTATGCTGCTTGCTTTCCTGAGAATAAGTCTTTTTTTTTTCTCTCAGACATGGAAGCCTTATGTTCTGTCATTGCAAGACTTTTTAAATTTCTCACTCCAAGTAAGCATCACAATATTCGTATTGCTCATTATGCTGGAAATGGCAGGCTAACTTGTTAATAGCTAACTTGAAAATAACATAGAAGTTTAGACTCTTCACAGTTCCTAACCAGCACTGCTATGATCTGAATGTTTGTACGTCTGGCCTCTTTACCCCCACAACCACCCAATTCATATGTTTTAATTTTAACCCACAAGATGATGGTACAAGGAGACAAACTTTGAAAGGTAATTAGGTCAGGAGAGTAGAACCTTCAAGGATGAGATGAATGCCCTTATAAAGGAGGTCCAAGGAAGCTTGTTTGCTCCTTCCACTGTGTGAGGGAATAGCTGGAAGGCACCATCTAGGAAGAAGAAAGTAGGTCCCCGCCAGACAGCAAATCTGATAGTGCCTTAATCTTTAACTCCCAGCCTCCAGAACTGTGAGAGAATACATTTCTGCTTCATAAAAAAAAGCATCCCTAATGTAACTAATAACTTAATTTGTGTGTGTGTGTATACATATGGAGTATATACACACACGTATTTAATGTGTATATATACACATGCACACATAGGTATTTATGCATTTCCAATTATTAAAAGCAAGAAAGTTCTGAGAAACAGAAAAACAGCTCAATGTGTTCCTTTTCTTCTGACCTGTTCAATTGGGTTGTTTCTAAAGGTAATTAGGATTTATTCATTCAGGAGCTCATATTGATATGTAAATAGCTTGATTTAGAAAATAACATAGCTATCTCCCTAGGAAATAAATGGCTTAACACAACCAATTTACAACTAAATTAATGACATTGAGACTATTGAGTGTGTCATTTACAGACACTGTCTCTCAAAACATAGCATTCAATCCTCAAAGGTTTATTGGGCATCTACTGTGTGTTCTGTGCTATGATAAAGATAAGAAAAGAAATGGACACAGCCTGGACTTCAATTATATGGCCCCAAACTTGGGAGAAAAAAAACATGTAAATCAAACAGAGAATATTTTAGCACATCATAAAGTGATAAATTGAATAATACAAAATGTATAGTAGAATTTCAAAGAAGAGTGACTTTCAGGGTTTAAGAGACACTTGGTGAACACTGAAAAAGCGATTTAATGCATGAGAGGCCATGACAAATCACCTGTGTGGGAAACAAAAGGTAAACTCCAGAACTGAGAGCTGAAAATAAGCTCATCTACTTCTGTATCTCACAGGTGAAGAAATAGAGGCTCATCCACACAGTTTCGGTGATTTTGCCAAAGTCAGCAAGTAATTATCAAACTTAAGTCTGAAAAACTGAGTAACTCTGAGTTTGGTGTCATTTAATGACAGGTAATATTATAAATTGAAGCTTAGAACACTAGTGTTTGGCAGAGCCAGAGTATGAATTCAGAATACAGGGCCTGATCTCTTGACTACTGGAACACGGCTTCTCAACTTTTAACATGCACACAAATCACCACGTGAAAATGCAGATTCTCACTCCGTGTAAACCTGAGACTGCATTTCTCACGTTCCCAGGTGCTGCTGCTGCTCTCTGAGAATTAAAGTAGCAAAGCACTAGAATGCAAGTATTGCCATCATTTTCTGCTCTAGAGGATATAATCATAGTTGACAAAATTCAGGAGGTCAAATTTTCCCTTTGGGAATCTGATAAACTATAGACACTCTCCATGAAAGATATGCATGCGCACGAAAATTTTTTATAAAACATCAAGATTTTGAGAACCTCCCCACTATACTCATAAAGCTCAACCATAATAGATATGAGGAACTTAAGTGATAAACCTCCAGCCACAGGTAATTTTGGAGTAAGAAATTATTCTTCACCACCTCCTTCAGGTGGTTCTTAAGATTTGTTACTAATGATGTACATCCTTTGTATTAGTCAATACCAGTTTTAGGCTCCTCTTTTAAGCTTCTACTTTAAATGAGTTTAACCTTTGATACTGGCATACTGCTAATAGCAGTACTTAATTTCTAAGATTAAAAAAAGAAGAGAATGGGATACAAAGGAGATGTTCAGAAATGGGACCAGAGCAGAGCTGGCTCACAGAATAATTAATTCACTGGGAAGTATGTCATGGAACACAAAAGTGCTGCCGAAGGCCAAAATGGTCTGTTTCTTCACTCTGCCTAGAATTTACCTGGATGGTGTTATAAGAGCAGAGAGGGCAGTGACTCCTTCTCTCATAAGAGCCATGACCAGTATCCCTATAACCAAAGTCAGGTTGACAAGAGAAAAGCACAAGAAGTTCATTTGATCATAGATTTGCATGACATAGGAATATTCAGAATGAAGACCCACAGATACACAAAACACTGTCCATTTTTATACTTAGGCTCTATGACGCAGTGAAAGCCATGTAGAAATGTGATTGGAAAAAAAGGAGTATGAGCTGATAGAAATAGACTGAGTCGGGAAACCCAGCAAGGCTTGTCTGCTCAGATTCTTCTTGGCTTCTCTGTGTGGCGTTCCTTTCTCCTGGGTAGAACCACTTTAGAATGAGGGATGTCATTCCCTTATGGTCAGGTGTTACACAAAAAGGTAGGGGAATGTTAGAATAACGTTTTTAGACTTTACAGCTACCTTTGGGAAAAAGGAGTTTTAGTTTCTATGACCTGACTCAGGAAAGAATGAGCAGGACAGATGGGCAGGAGGTCAGAGATACTTTGTTTCTGAGGTTTTCATTTTTGGGTATCATTTTCTGGGCCCCAATAGTGTGTTTCTTGCTTATCCCCCATATGGTTTTCTCTTTGACCTATGACTACTTTTAATAATTATTAGGATTATTTATTGACTCCCTCCCATGTTCAAGCACCACTCTGGGTGTTCTCAGCCTCTAATAATCTTAAGAGGGTAAATTATTCCAAGTTTCCTAATGAGAAGATAGTGGTCCGAAAGCCAACTTGCTCAAGGGCACGAAGCTAATTGGGGGTGGAGATGAAATTAAACCCAGTCCTATTTGGCCATCAACTCTCCTACCCTGTACTACTGCCTCTGTCTTTTCTACTAAGCTTCACTGCGATGTGTACCACAGGTCCAGATCTGGGGTTCTTCCTATTACCAACTACCTTTCTGCCCCTGTACCCTCAAGACCAAGCCTCTAATTTATCTTGAGTCTTGCCTTTCCCGATCACTTCACTTTTCTATTACCTCCTATTTATAGAACAGTATTTCTATGTCCTCCTTGCTCTCTCCCTCATCCTTTTCTCTCTTTTCTTAAGGAAGAAAAAGGAAGGACAAGAGGAAGAGAAAGACAGGCAAAGATCTGGAAAGTAATCAGTTCCTATAAAGTAGAGTCCTTTAAGTTTTATTAGAGAGCAATTTCAGGGACATAATGTCCCATGATTACCTGCTGCACTATTACTGCTACTTTATTAGAAGTTCGAATAGTATAAAATCTGATGGCAATTATTCAGGAAGCAACCTCACTGAAAATATTCTTTGCTTACAAAAAAGGGTTATGTAAGTTGACACTCAGTAAAGAAATATTGTAAGATCTAAACTATACAACATAATACTATAATTATATCTTCAAGTCTATGGAAATTCCATAATATAATTAGAACACAACCAAAATAAAATATTCCTACCCAGAAAATTACTTCATCGTGTTTCCCCATTGTGTCCAACTATCATCTTTAGTTTTCAGGTTATGA